TATTGATTTGTATGCTGTTGGTGGATTTTTGTCATTGACTTGTTGGGTTCTGGGATTCCACGTATAGCTCTGGTGGCAGTGACCCAGTAGTGCTTTATTCAGCTAAGCAGAATCAACAATGGAAATCTACATATATTGACTGAATTGTGTACTTTCTCCAGTATAATCACCTGCCAATGTGCACAAATCTCTCTTCATTAATAGATTATGTGCACATTCTGCATGAGGCCTTGGGAATGTGCACAATGGCTGGCTGCTATGCACATGAACTGCTTAATTTACATATAGAGAATAAAAATAAATTGTTTTTGGAAATTATCAAAGGGGGAGTGGATGACTCTCTCATGTGTGGGGTGCAGGGCCACTATTGATGTGGCTGAGGAACGTTTAGAATATTCTTTTCTGCATTCTTCAAATCATCTCCCTGATGGTCTGAACTCTGCAACGTAATTAAAGCTCAGGGGAAGATGTCGGGGTGGGTGTCTGGGGGAGGCTGCAGGGTGCTAGACAAATGTACGATGAAGAGGAGGGGACACATTATTGGCCATCTTGCACTGACAAGGTAAACTCACACCTCCACACTCACGGAAATTCTAAAGGCATTCAAAAATCACCCTGAGATTGAGGCAGGAATAAACAGCCTCTTACATAGGGCAAGAAAGCGATCAAGAAAATAAGGGGCAGATTTTGCTACAGCACTAGTTCTTAGGGATCAAAATGCCTGAAGAAATTGGAAGACTTGCCTAGCGCTAACCCAAGCAGGATTATTAATTGCTGGAAGAGGACCAATAAAAAGAATGTATTTATTAGTAGTAAGGTAAAGGTAAAGGGACCCCTGACCATTAGGTCCAGTCGTGGCCGACTCTGGGGTTGTGGCACTCATCTCGCTTTATTGGCCAAGGGAGGCGGCGTACAGCTTCCGGGTCATGTGGCCAGCATGACTAAGCCGCTTCTGGCAAATCAGAGCAGCGCACGGAAATGCTGTTTACGTTCCCACAGGAGCGGTGCCTATTTATCTACTTGCACTTTGACGTGCTTTCGAACTGCTAGGTTGGCAGGAGCAGGGACCGAGCAATGGGAGCTCACCCCGTCGCGGTGATTCGAACCACCGACCTTCTGATGGGCAAGTCCTAGGCTCTGTGGTTTAACCCACAGTGCCACCCACGTCCCTTATTAGTAGTAGAACTACATAATCTGTTTTTTGAGACATATCCTCACAAAGCTGCTAGCAAATATGATTGAAAGCAATGTAAATTGCAACAAAAGGTATTTTAAATATCCATTCAATGGCAATGGCTCGGCCTAAAACCAGAATAAAAATAACACAGTAGTCAACCGGCCTCCCCCACCCCCACAGCCAGTGGCGTAGCGTGGGTTGTCAGCACCCGGGGCAAGGCAAGTAATTTGCACCCCTTAACCCGTGGATTTGCGCCCCCTAACCCTAACCCCCAGGTGTTGCGCCCGGTGCGGCCGGCCCCCCTGCACCCCCCATGCTACGCCACTGCCCACAGCATACAAACTCCGATTTATAACCTCATTTACATTAAGATGGGCCACTGGTCTGTGGCCCATCTAGTTCAGCATTAGGTTATCACAGTGGCCAACCAGATGCCTGTGGGAAGCCTGGAAGCTGGTTAAAGTTAAAAAGTTAAAGGACCCCTGGGTGATTAAGTCCAGTCAAATGCGACTATGGGGTTGCGGCACTCATCTCGCTTTTCAGGCCAAGGGAGACGGTGTTTATCCACAGACAGCTTTCTGGGTCATTTGGCCAGCGTGACTAAACCACTTTTGGCACAACGGGACACCGTGACGAGTGCCAGAGCGCCCGGAAATGCTGTTTACCTTCCTGCCGCAGTGGTACCTATTTATCTACTTGCACTGGTGTGCTTTCAAACTGCTAGGTTGGCAGGAGCTGGGACAGAGCAATAGGAGCTCAACCCATCACTTGGATTCAAACCGCTGACCTTCCAATCAGAAGCTGAACCCGAGCACAACAGCACTCTGGCCACTTGTGGTTCCCAGCAACAGGCATTCAGAGGCGGACCACCTCTCACAGTGCAAGTAGAATATGGCCATAATGGCTAGTAGCCGTTGATAGACCTGTTCTCCACGAATTTATCTAATCCTCATTTGCAGCTGTCTAACTTGGTAGCCTAACTTGTGGGAGCATATTCCATCATTTAATTATGCATTGTGTGGAGTGCTTTATTTTGTCTGTCTTGAACCTTCCAGCATTCGGTTTCATTGGGTGTCCCTAAGTTCAAGTGTCATGAGGGAGGGAGAAAAGCTTTTTGCTATCCATTTCATCTGTGCCATGCATAATTTCATACACCTCTATCATGTCTCCTCGCCTTTTCTGCAAAATAAAAAATAGCCATCAAAGGTCACAGAGAGATGGTGGTGATTGATGATTGATGATGATGGTTTTTATGCTGCCAGTCTCCCCAAAGGAGCCCAGGGCAACATAGAACAAAATAGTATCACAATAAAATATCACGAAACAACCAAAGAAGTACAGCAGGTGACGAAAAACAAAATCATAGCAGAAGGGCATCGTTCTCCAAAGGCCTATGTACACAGATACCTCTTCAAAAGGTGCCAACATGTTGAGCAGGGGAGAGATTGATGGATCTCGACAGGGAGGGGATTCCATAACCAAGGGGCTGGCACAGAGGAGATGGGTCTTTGATGCTCTTTCAAAAACAAAACGCCTACCAGATCTCAGCAGGATATCATTGACCTAGAAATCCTACTATTTTTAATGTGTGCTAATAGAAATCCCATAGGTAGCCCCCTGTTTATAACCTTCCTTCTTCCTGGTAGGACTCCAAGCAAGCATTCTAATCTCACACCAGCCTGAAGCTTGCTGGAACAACAGTAGGAAAATTTGGCCATGAATGCTATGTCAAGACCAGCATATATGTGATTCATATTAAACCAAGATTTCTGTTCTTGTCAAGGCTCTATCAAGTGTTCGGAGAATCACAATCCCTCCCCTGGCGGTAGTCAAAAGGCAGATAACCGAAAGAATTCTTACCACGTAATTATTCAGTATTCACAGAGAGGGACAAAAGAATGCAGTCCCTACAATAATACTGTTGCTCCAACTGAGCTCCTGACAGTTTTATCCCCATCCCACAAGTCATCAAAGTCTATATATGAGGGCAGCCAATGTGGTGCACTCCAGATGTTGTTGGACACCAATTCCCATCAGCCCCAGCCAGCATGGGCAACAGTAAGGGATGATGGGAGCTAGAGTTCAGCAAGATCTGAAAGGCCACAAGTTCCTAGGGATGGAGGACAAATTCTCTTCTGTTTAGTGGAACACAACCATTCTTCAAAATTCATAGTGTTAAGAATTTTGTAATGCAGTTTGCCAACCAAATAATGTTTACAAAAATACGTATATCAGAGGAAAGTGTGCATTAAAGTGGATCAAAGCGAGAGAGAAAATACAAAAATGTATTGGGAGAAATTGCCTGCCAAAACATTTTTTTTTTAAAAAATGGTACAATGTTCAGATTAAGGGAAATAATAGTATCGTTCTATTCTGCCATACTCAGACCCCACCTGATGTCCTGTGTCCAGTTCTGGGCACCACAGTTTAAAAAAGATATTGACAAGCTGGAATATGTGCAGGGGAGGGTGACAAAGATGATAAGGTGTCAGGAAACCAAGCCTTATGAGGAACAGTTGAGGGAGTTGGGTACCTAGAGAAGAAAAGACTGAAAAGTGATACGATAGCCATTTTCAAATATGTGAAGGGATGTCACATGGAAGATGAAGCGAGCTTGTTTTCTGCTTATCCAGAGAGTAGGACCCAAACCAATGGATTCAAGTTACAAGAAAGGAGATTTCGACTAAACATTAGGAAGAACTTTCTGACAGTAGGAGCTGTTCAACAGTGGAATGGACTTCCTCAGAAGGTGGGGGAGACTTCTTCACTGGTGGTTGTTAAACAGAAGTGTGATTGACATTTGCCAGGGATTATTTAGATATGATTGAGGCATTGCAGGGGGTTTGGGTAGATGACCCCTGAGGACCTTTCCAAACCTACAATTCTATGATTCTATTTTGCAAGGCCTGGGGCAAGCAAAATTGAGCTGCCCTAAACCTCTCTGCCCGCCAGCACTTTCCAACTCACCGTGTTAGTACAGTGGTACCTCAGGTTAAGTACTTAATTTGTTTCGGAGGTCCATACTTAACCTGAAACTGTTCTTAACCTGAAGCACCACGTTAGCTAATGGGGCCTCCCGCTGCTACCGCACCGCCAGAGCACGATTTCTGTTCTCATCCTGAAGCAAAGTTCTTAACCTGAAGCACTATTTCTGGGTTAGTGGAGCCTGTAACCTGATTGGGCGTATGTAACCTGAAGCGTATGTAACCTGAGGTACCACTGTACCTGAATTAGTTTAGCATACCTGTGTGTGCGTGTGGAGCCATTCCACTTCCACCGAGCTGTAGTGCAGATCTTTTCCCAAGGAGAGAGGTGAAATGCAATATTTACTTTGCTAAGTGCAGCAAGTGAGAAGCACTCCACTGTGAAATAAATAACAGGGGATATTAAAATTCAATATGTAAAAGTAATGGAGTAATGGAAGATGTACTGCATTGTGTGCAGCATGTTTAACAAGGGCATGAATATTCTCAGTGGTAAATAACATGTTTGGCAATCTCGTTCTCTGGGCAAAGGAACAGAGGGTCAAAGTGCCAGGGGATGGCAGTTTTTTTCCCCGAAAAAAGAAAACACACACACACATCCAACCATGTTTTCTTAAATGCAGGATAAATCAGAAAGGTGACTGTATGGATAACTGTTGAAACAAGAACAGAGCTCTGTGCCACCTTAAATTCATGGTGGAAAGTTTCCATCACGATGAAATGGTTAGTCAAAGCTGCCAAAGGAGACTCTTTTGTTGTCAATAAATCAGGAGTCGGGAACATAAAAGGTTAATGCTCCATGTACAATCTGGCAAGGCTCCTACCTTCTTCATGCATACCCAAGGAACGTTGTGCTGCTCCTACATGATAGCATATGGTGCAGGTCTAACTGTGTCTACTCAGAAGTAAGCCCTGCTGAAATCAGTGATGCTTACTCCCAAGTAAGCAAAGTCAGAATAGAAGCCTTATTTATTATGAACATGATTCACCCATAGTTCCCTTCCTCCTTCACTCCCATGGGAGAGGTGAACCCCCCATGCTTACATCTCTTCCGCTGAAATCAATTGGACTTTAAAGTGTTTCATCATATCCACCATACTTGCAGAATGAGGTGGTAGAGTGCTGTTGAGGTCGTAAAGACTGGACCACTTACAACCGCTTCCAGACAGCCACTGAGAATTTATATCGAAGGGAGTCAATGTGGTGCCTTCCAGCTGCTGTTGAAAGCCAACTTCCATCATCTTTGATGAGAGCTGAACAACATCTAGAGAGTCACCAGTTCTCCCCCACCAGGGTTAAGCCTGACTACCCCACCATGGCCCCTCCTCTTGAGTAGAACTGATGTGGACTGCTTTGTGCTGTTGCTGCTCTTGAGGATATGGGTCCAGTTGGGGTACGTTAGGTCATTCTGCAGGTTCTCTAGGTGTGATGTTAAAGTTCTATGGGATGCCCAGTCTTTCTCTAGTCCTGGTTCATGGTGTGGCCCTCCTCTGATGGGGAGCCCTCATCCAATTCCAGCTTTGCCAGGTCTTGGCAGCAACGTCATCTTCTAACAGACCTGGAATGAGAAGGAAACTGTGTTAAGGCAAAATCAGGCTCTAAAATCAATTTGGTACACCCATAGTCATGCAAAATGCAAACGTTTATAATTGATGACAACTGTCAAAAGAACTGATTTCTGGGTGTATAGCATTTATCATAGTTTGGGGTTTTTAAATTAAGGTCTGATGTCTTTGCAAACCAGAGGTCCTGATTCAACCATAGTACTTTTGATTCAGACAGACTTTTTCCATAGCTGGCATTGTCCTGAGGATCTGACTAGATCAATGCTAATGGCTCTGAGTGAATTTAAATTGATACCAAAAAATAGCGTTAACCTTTCCGACTATTCAGCATTTAAAAGCAATCAGTAAGGAAACATTTACAATGTTAGTGGTTTATGTTTTCTTGAGGAAATTCTACCCTGCAAGTTAATCAGATAAATCAAAGGAGAAACAATGCAGCAGAGACTGTGAACCTCACATCTGCTCCACAGTTTTATTATTTTTCAATAGGTTTATGGGTTTGCCTTGTAAATCTTAAGTTTTAGTGGTGGGACTTTGCACGTTCAATATTTGTGATGCTGTATTGAGTTTCACAGTAGTAAGTGAAAATCTTGACCGACATATTTGAGTACTTCCAGCATGATTTTCTTGTGTATGAGATGGTTGTAACTTTCTACTACCTAACCTTGCACCAGCACAGGGATGATGAACCTATGACCTTCCATACATTATTGACCTACAGTTCCCATCATACTAGATTGTTGACTATGCTGCATGGGGCTGATGGGAGTTGGAGTCCAACAACATCTGGAGGACCACAGGTTCCCCATCCCTGCACTAGTGCATCCACAACTGTAATCTTGAACAGATAAAAGTGAGGTCCTCAGAACCAACCACCACATATTTCCTTGCCTGATGCCAAAAAACACACAACAGGAGCAGCCAAAGGGGCGTTGGGGAGTCTGCATCTAAGGTAGATGAGATAAGGAAAGGCATAGGACACATACCCACCTTACATTTAAAACACCATTAATTTACTATTAAATCGCTTTAATAGACATGCCCCACCCGAAAAGGAAGAGGAAGAGGAAGAGGAAGAAGAAGAAGAAGAAGAAGAAGAAGAAGAAGAAGAAGGGGCAGCATTCTTTTGGTGTGCTGAAAGTTCTTAGGAGACCTCTATTCCCCCCAAAACTTCAATTCCAAGCATGTTTTAATAATCAATCCCTCTCCCCAGGGAACTCTGGGAAGTGTAACTCAGGGGGAAGCGGAATAAGGATCTTCTAACAACTCTCAGCAATCTGTGGTTACCATAATTCTTCTCAGAAAGCCATGATTATTAAAGTGGTTGTTCCAACATATCTAGAAAAAGGAGGACTGCTTTCCTCCCCTTGAACAAAGTGCCTGTTTTGCCTTCATGGTTATCTCTGCAGCAAGTGAAAAAACACCCATGATCTTAGTTTAATTAGATAATAATAATAATTTTATGCAATTCAAATGTCCTAGCCCAGTAAATCCCCCTTCTGAAGTTGGCAGATGCAAATTAAATCCTGTGTGCTGGAGTATGATTTGGCTTTGAACACTCTGAAAAGCCCTCCGTGATTCAGGCGGTGGAGGGGAATTAGTCTTTAAGCTGCATCTGTAGAGTTTCTTCTCCCTTAATTTATTTATGGGGAATGCTATTGGGGCAATGTTTGGAATCGGACAAAACTGCCAAGTGACAAAAATGATTGAGAGACAAGGTGTTTAACTGCTAATAGCCTTAAGTCCCTGGTAACAAAGGGCCAGGCTTCCTTGAAACAGTAATAGACAACAGGCCATCTGTCACAATTTGTCCCACACCATGTTTGAAAAGCGTCAACCAGTATCAGAATCGCTCAAATCGTTATTTATACCATCATGCAAAGAGGACTGCAGGAGATATTCAGTTCAACTTCACATTTAAAGGTGATCCTACCAAATAAACATTTTCAAAAAAATAATATCATCGCCACCATCAGTTTGACAGAGAACGACAATGGATAACTTAATTAAATGGGGATTTTCAAAAGACGTTCTCCGTCCTTCCTTCATAATACTTTAACTGCCTTGAACCACAAACCTCCCGATACAAACACTTAGCCTAGCTGAGCAGATTTACCAAAATTATGATTATCCCAAGTTGGTCTGATTTGCTAGAAGCGAGCGGCAAAAGGCCCTTGAAGTCTAACTGGGAGGAATTTGCCCCACTAAAGGGAAATATGCTGAGATGCTGTATTGAATTATGCTGCATTTATAATAGAATTTCATTCTGTTATTTAAACACATCTGAGACAGAATTATCCACTGAGAGGAAGAGGGCTCCCCCCTCCTTTCTTTTGAAGTCAGATTGTAATGAGCGCAGGTTTCTTACACGGCGAGGCATATGGCAAGTTCCTTCATTGAAGCAGAAAGGCAAGGAGGTGAAGGGGCTTTCTGAGCTTTTCTAAATACTGGGCTGTGAAAATCAGCAATCAGATTAAGGGTGCAACCCTTTATCCAGTTCCCAGCAGGAAACCTCATTGAGCTCAATGGAGTGTCTGAGTAGATATACGCAGGATTGTGCTGAACAGAATTTCTGGTCTATTTCTAGGAGGCGAGTCAAAAAGCACCCACCACGGAGATCAGAGGTGTACCTAGAGTCCTTTGTGCTCTTGGCAAGGTGTTGGATCGCCTGCCCACCCCCAGAAAATCATTTTACTGCAATAGCCACGTTAGAAATTGCTACATGACCCAAGTACTTGAAGCATCCAGAATGAGGTTGAGGCAAGGAGGAAGAGCAAAATAATTCACATGTCTCACAGTGGTGCAAGAAGAACAGGAAGCTTCTGTTGCATTTGATCTTGCTGCAACAGCGACAGTGTGTCGCTGCACATAAGTACATCATATGCTCCATAGTCTGATACAGTAAGAGATTTTGGTAGGGGGCTCCCAGGCTTCCCCGGTAGGAGCCGCTTTTGCCAAACCCTAGGTACACCTCTGCCTATGGTATCTTATTTGCTCTTTATTTTAGGATGATTTGGATGTAAAGGTGTGAAAATTTCAGGCCTGGGTAACAAATGTTGCTCTCTAGCTCTCTCAGTCTGCTCTTCCAGACTCTCCTAAGGCCTCCAATTTTATTTTATTTTTAAAATAATTTTTATTAAGTTTTCCATTTAACAATCCAATCATATCACATTAATTATTCTAAATTATACCAATACATATCATAAAGTCCAAATATTTTGCCAAATTAAAATTTTTTGTTGGGGGTTCCCATGCTTCGAGTTCAGTAAGGGTCCAGTCATCTCATATTTCTGCTGCTTTTAGTGTTCACCAATCCCATCTTTCGATCTTCTTGTTGTTATCCTTTTTCTTCTTAATAGCCTCTGAGATGTTTCCACAGGCGAGTTAAAGTAAACATTATTATGCTTCTGTGTGAACTTTGTAAGGCTCTCCCTTTTTAAAGCTGGTAAGTCTTTTGTTTGCAATAAATCTTCACACGCTGATCCAAAAGTCCTGCTCGGGCGGCAGGCGCCATCTTTCTCAGTTCCAATGAAATAAAATCTAAGCGTCTGCTCATTCATTTTCCCAGACAAGTTGCACCATAAATCAGTCTTTCCAGGGAAGATTTGCCATCGAACTTAGAATGCAAACATGATAACAGAGCAACGTCTCGCCTCCCCCTCTGACTTATTAATCAAGGCCTCCAAATTTTGCAGTGCAGTTCTCCAGCCAAAAAATATGTACAAACATGCATATATTAGGGTAGAGTTGTGCATACAAATGCATACATTAGTGAAAATAACCGACGAGCATGTATTAGGGAGTACTGCTTTGTAAAAATAAAAAAAGCATATTCAGTAAAATTGCATACAAAAATCTGCACATCAGAAGAAATCTGTGATAAAAGGCTGATTAATTTTCATGAAGTTTTTTTTAAAAAAAGAAGAATCACAAACTGATGTGGAAATGTGGAAAACTGAATTTAAGACTGGGGAAATCAGAAACAGAAACTGAGTTATGCAACCATCCCTAATTCCAGGTCACCCAGCCTTATTTGATCTTTAGCTTGCCTAGGAGGCATCTAGGATTGTTTTGTCTCTCTCCACACTCCACACTCCCTCCCAGCGTTAACAAAAGGATATTGCCATTTGGGCCATAGGTTGGACTTGTCTCCCTGAGACGCTACTCGATTTTATGCATTAAATTACACACTTTACAGATTTCAATCTCTCCCTGTCACTTTCTCTCTCTCTTCTTCAGTATATATCATTCTCAGAGGGGGTTTTGTGGAGGGAGGAGGGAGCAGTCATCCAAATTTCATCATACATCCAATGATGAAACACATCTGTGTTCTTGGGTGGAAGGTCACCTAGAAAGATCTCATTCATCAAAGTGTTCCCCATCGTGAATCAAGGGGGGTGAGAAGGTCACCTGACTGAAGTACAGGCACTGATGGGTAGCAAAGCATGCACTTGTCACAAATTAGTGCCAGGAATACTTGTGTAATTAATCAAAATTATATCTAGTTCTCCTTGGAGTTAGTTTATATACTACCCCCACTCTGCAAAAAAAAACAATAATCAATAACTAGGAGGGGGGGAATGGGCTTGAAGCAATACTTGGCCAAGCTCCCTAGGAAAATAAAATTTATGACAGCATAAAAAAACAAATTTAGCCTCTGGAGTAATGGTCGCTTCATCCATATGATATTGGCAAATTATATTTACCATGCATCCTAATACAAAGCCATTAATATCTCATGTACCTGCTCAGCCATGTCGTATTAGATATTAGCCAGGATGAAGCATCCATCCATTGACTCTTGAGTTGAAACCAGCTTGCTTAAGCAAACATTTTCCTTAATGCATCCCACATTTCAATTTGGTGACTTGCTTAGAAATTATTGCGAAGAATACAGAAGGAGGCAGAAAGATGGTTCATATGTTATAACCAATAATTAGGGATGAGCTGCAGTTTGCTGAAGCTTCCCTTTGCTTCTGTTCATTTGCATCCTTTCCCCACCTGATGTTGCTGAGGCTGGAGCTTCGGAAGTACATTTTAAATGGGAGCCAGTTCTAGTTCAACAGGTCTGAAAAGGAACTGGTACCAGTTCACTTTCATCTCTTAAAAAATCCCCAGCAATAGCAACTTGTTTGCTTCATGTACAGTTTCATACCCTCCAACGTTTCACTGATGAAAACAGGGACACCCTATTCCATAATAAAAAAAATTATTTATATCCTGCCCATCTGACTGGGTTGCCTGAGCCACTCTGGCTGGCTGCCAACATGTATAACAAAACATAAAACATTTAAAACTTCTTTATACAGGGCTGCTTTCAGAGGTCTTCTAAAGACTGTATCGTTAGTTATCTCCTTGGCTCGGGGGTTGCACACCTCCATATCCTCCAACATTTCTCTGATGAAAATAGGGACATCCTAAGGGAAAGAAGGACATTCTAGGATCAAAACAGAAACTGGGGCGGCTTCTGTAAATCCAGGACTGTACTTGGAAAATAGGGACACTTGGAAGGTTTGCAATTTGCAGTTCAAGCCAAGTTCATTCAAATGATCCAGCATTCAGTATGTGACAAGATGATTGCTGAAATACACAATATACTTAAGAAGACAAAGGCCATCTCAGAACCATACATTTAAAGCACCATTATACCATACTAACAGTGATGGCTGTTAGAACTGACAGAAGTAACATTGCTGCCACCACAGAACTAGGGCTGTGCACTGGATTTAGCCGAGTCCCGAACCAAATTGGGCTGCTTTGGGGGTGGGATCTGGGTCTTGGCTGAGTTGGGTTGAGTCAGCCTCAACTTGCTGTGCATCAGGTCAGACGATCCAGAGTAATCTGGGGATGTAAAAGGATGGAATGTTAGGCGCAAAGAATAAATTGTGCAAAGGAGGGACTAAACTGGCAGCTGAATTTTTGCAGAAGGTAGGGGTGGATACTCATCCTGCTGGCCCTCTCCTCCTTAAGGATTGAATCCCGTTGCTTACCAGCTGGTAAGTAAGAAGATTAGATCCTCCTATGCAGCAATTGCTGCTCCTTTTCAAGAAGAACTCCACGTGGTCAAACCTGCTTGCTCTCAGTCGGGAAGTGGGGAGACAGGGATGAAATGTCTCCTCCTTCCATCCCAACCATATGCTAAAATAGTGTTTTAAAATCTCTTCACCCAACCCCTGAATTGCTGTACTGATGGACGTGTCATGGTCCAGGTTACAGGCAGTCGGAGTCCCTGCTTGGTACGTCAGGACAGGGGTAAAGGTTGGGAAGCAGGAATCAGCAGTGCAGGGGTCAGGAAGCCAATAGTCCACAAGTCAGGAAACCAGGAGTCAAGAAGCCAAGGGTCCAAGGGTCAGGAAACCAAGAAGCTGAAGCACAGCTAGGTGGGTAGCGTGTTGCTGTGGCAAAGAGCCAGAGGGAAATGCTGGTCTTATATACCCTTGCCACCAGGTGCTACAAGTCTTCTGTTAAGCCTCACCTGTGCAGCCACGCCTTGCCCTTCCAGGCCAAACTCAGGACGGCCCCAGTCCTGCGAGGCCCTACCAGTCACAGGGCCTGGCTCCTGCACGCACTCCTGACAAGATGCGAGCTGGGTGATCCTTGGGATAGCAGTGGACAAGATTGACCTGATCCAAGAGCTACAGATCAGGGCCATGGGGTGGCTAATGGGGCTGTGCATAGTCCTAATAAGAATGTAATAACCTTGTTGGATCAGGCCAGTGGTCCATCCAGTCCAGCATCCTGTTCTCGCAGTAGCCAACCAGATGCCCATGGGAGGCTCACAAGCAGGACCTGAGTGCAGGACCAACTCTCCCCTCCTGTGGTTTACAACAGCTTGCACTCAGAAGCATTACTACCTTCCAACAGTGGAGGTAAAACATAGCAACTGGAAGGGATGGTCTAAAACAGTGGTTCTCAACCTTTGGGTCCCCAGATGTTGTTGGACTACAACTCCCATCATCCCTGAGCTCTGGCCTTGCTAGCTAGGGGTGATGGGAGTTGCGGTTCAACAACATCTGGGGACCCACAGGTTGAGAAAGGCTGGTCTAAAATGACTGCTGCTACATTTTTTCCTAACAAATGTTGTCTCACGATGCTATGGCCTCTAATGAAAAGTTCCCACACCCAGGCATGACCTTTGGTGAGTTTTTATCCTTTTTTAAAAAAATCCCATTCAGGCAGGCAGTGTCTCTCCTCAAGACCCTCACAGCAGACCTAACAAAGCTAAGGCAATTGGAGAAGTTTTGGAGATGAGTGGCTGTTTCTGAAACAAAGGATTGGACATTCCTGAACTTTCATAACTCTTTTCAGAAAGAGTTTTTCACTGGAGTTTTTGCAGCAGCAGAATGAAACAGATGTATCCAACAGACACAGGCTTTGTTATCTGTAGACTATTTCTTTCAGGAATCTCTGCAATAATTAATTTTTCTGTTATCATCAATGTCATTTTCATTTTCAAGAGTAAATGGGGAGAAGAGAGAGGGGGGAGGGAAGGAGAGAGAGAGAGAGAAAGAGAAAGAGAAAGAGAGAGACCACAGCATTTCTTGGAAGCTTGCTCCATCAGAGGGCTGCTTCAAATGAAGAAGTCATTGGAGACCAGCTCCCTCCATTCCACTTCACTTCCTGCACATTCGCTAGTGAAAACTGTTCATCCTATTGTTCCATTACAGGGTGATGGGGGAGGGGGGGAGAGAGAATTAACAATGAGATTTCTTTCCCCCTCTCCCACGAAAGCACATAATAGAGAAAGAGAGAGAGAGAGAGAGAGAGAGAAAGCATTTACCTGTTACAACAGAAATGGATGGATAAATAAGAAAAGCACATGGGGCATTTAGGATGACATGCAATTACAGGATTAAAAATTCATACATTTGATGGGAAAGAGGCTTGAAATCACCGAGCCATTAACCACTTTGAATGAAAGGGGAACTTATCTGTTCTCTCGACCAAAACGTTTGGAGCTGCAGATAGGCCCCGCTATCTCTCAACCTCCCCACTCACGGATGCTTTCATTTGTGCACAGACTCAATCCCTGTGTGTTTCAGTTGCTAGAGAAGTTTTGTAATTTTCAGTAGCCCAGGGGGACTTTTTTTTTCTATCTGCACTTCAAACTGATCCAAAATATACCAGCTAGATTGCTGGCAAAGACTCCATCCTCTAATAACTTGATTGCCAGTCCATTTCCAGGCCCGGTTTAAGGGACTCACGTTAGTGTTTAAGGCCCTAAATGACTTTTAAGGCCCTAAAAGACCACCTTCTTCTGGGCCTCTTGAGTGTCAAGAGCAGCAGAGGGGGGCATTCGGGTAGTTCCACCACCCTCAGAAACTCTTGTGTCTGTGTATGGTCCAGGAGAGGTCATTCTCAGGGACAGCCCCTAAGTTGTGGGACTCCCTCTGGACGGAGGTGAGCCTGGCACCTTCACCATTCAGTTTTCGTCATATGCTGAAGATGCACTGCTTTTTCATGGCTTTTGACACTAGAAATGTATATTTTTTAGGATCCATCCCATTCATGTGATTGTCATTTGTTTTAAAATGGTTTTAACGTTGTGTTTTAAATTAGGGTGAAGGATGAGTAATCAATCAAAATAGTAATAGTAATAATATAGACATGGGTGCTACAAAAAAAAAAAAGGGTTATTACACTAGGGGTGGCCAACTCCCAAGAGACTATGATCTACTCACAGAGTTAAACACTGGCAGTGATCTACCCCTCAAAGTTGTTGAGCTTTTATTTAGGGAGGAAAGCCCTGTTTATTGGGGGGGGGGGGGAGTCAAATTTGTTGAGCTTCTTTGGGGGGAGCCACAAAGCTACCAGTGATCTACCACAGGCATCCACTGATCTACCGGTAGATCATGATCTACCTGTTGGACGTGCCTGGTAGAACCACCATCCATCAAACTAAAAAGTGGCAGGTTCCTCTCCCTTTTTAATTCACATCCCCTGTTAGAATTGCTTTAGGGTTTCACCTGAAAGTGCTATTTTGGGTGTTGCTCTTACACATGATTTAGGGGTGGAATGTGGCCCCATTACCCAATGGTCTTATTGCACCTCAATGTATGGATTGGGTTTTGGGTTCCAACGACCTTCCATGTAGCCCTGGAACCTCAGGGGCCTCAAAGACACAAATGATATAATAACAATGATAAGTAATGATAAGGGAGAAGATGATGTTTTGGGGAAGACGTACATTGCAACACCAATCTGCAGGAGTGGCAACAGAATTGGTTTCTCTTCACCGGGAGTGGGGAACCTCAGGCTGGGTGCTAAACATGGTCCTCCAGAAAGAAATTCATCCTGGCCCTCAGGATGGTCTGCAAGCCATGCCCATTGCTAACCCTACTCTACTTATTCCTCAAGTGTTATTGCCTAACCTGAACGTGTCCTTGAACTGTGACAGTGCTTCCTGATTGTCCAAATGGTGGCTGGAGAGATGAGTGGGTGTTTAGCATGGCTGAAACAGCCCACTGTACAAAGTGAAGAGGAATAGTAGGAGACATTCAATTCAGCTCTCATTTAAAGGTGAATCTACCCAATTTGCATCCCCAGAACAAAAAGGAAACCAAAATACAGCCATTCTTCAAGATTGGAAATGCTATGAATTTTGTAGTAGTAGTGTGTATAAAAGTGCATACACTAAGACAAAGTGTACATGGGTGAAAACAGTGCTCATTCTCTTAGGCAGAATTGTACACAGATGTGTATGTTAGGAGAAAGTTGCACTGAAGCATTGACTAGTTTTCAATACTATGATTTTTTGAAATGCAAACTGATGTGGAAGCACAGAGAACTGAAATGAGAAACTGATAGGTACTGAAATTGACCGATTTGCCCATCCCTAGGTCATAGCCGCTGGGATGCAGGTGGCGCTGTGGGTTAAACCACAGAGCCTAGGACTTGCTGATCAGAAGGTCGGCGGTTCGAATCCCCGTGATGGGGTGAGCGCCCGTTGCTCGGTCCCTGCTGCCAACCTAGCAGCTGGAAAGCACGTCAAAGTGCAAGTAGATAGATAGGTACCATTCCGGCGGGAAGGTAAACGGCGTTTCTGTGCACTGCTCTGGTTCGCCAGAAGTGGCTTAGTCATGCTGGCCACATGACCTGGAAGCTGTACGCCAGCTCCCTTGGCCAATAAAGCAAAATGAGTGCCGCAACCCCAGAGTCGTTCACAACTGGACCTAATGGTCAGGGGTCCCTTTACATTTACCTTTAGGTCAAAGCCAGGTGTGTCTCCATTGCTCTGCTCACCTTTACCTCTAGCATTCAGCCTAGGATAGTTCCCCAGGAAAGAATACAGACCTTGAGGTGAAAAGGTTCCCCACCCTTTGAGATATAATTATTCATGGAGGGTAGTTGGAGAGAAAATCTAGCCTCCACCACAAGACACAAAACAACAACAAGCATGCCTTACACTTCATCCCATCACACCACAAAGTCATTATCTAAAGGTCACAACATGACATATATCTGAATGCATTTTGGAAACTTGCTTAGAGAAGTGGCCAGATAATCAGTGCACACGTACCCCAGTATTAAGATAGAGGTAGTCAGGCACAGGCAAAACCTCCTTCTCTGTCCTTTGTTCTTGCCCATCATCTGGAGTTTTACATTTGCTACAAAGTGAGGATAACTCTGATGGATGTGTCTCGCCTCAATGCTTCTTGTTATTTTTAATTGTCTTCTATTAAATTTCTATGCCACCCTTCATCCAAGGATCACGGGGTGGTTTACAATGTAAAAACACGAAACTACATAACATAGTAACAAAAACATTACCCTTGCCACACAAAGAGCTTAAATAGCCATAGATTGCTTATTTAGCCAAAGGCCTGAGAGAACAGGAATGGTTTTGTCCAACCCCTAAACATAAAAGGCCAGTTCTTGTGTTGCTGCACTCCAGACCTCTCATGGAAGGAAGCACATGAAGAAGGGCCTCAGATGATGATTTCAGGGTCTCAGATCAAATTGTCTATCCCCTTGTTCATTTTGGTTGCCATTTGTAACTCTACAATATCTTATTTGATGTGAAGTACCATACCCTTCTGAGGTGTGGTGGCCACACTAACTAGCAGTGACTGTCCAGGATTATAGACAGGGTTCTCTCTGAGTCCTACCTGGAGATGCCAAGAATTGAATCTGGAACTTTTTGCATGCCAAAGGAGATTGGAGATCAACACCATGTGCTAATCTATAATTAAGGAAATTGATGCTGTCTATATAATTCTGTGCTGGAGGCAGAAAATTTTGAATGTCCCAAAAAATCCCCCAGATCCCCCTGAATTTTTCCACTTGTGAATGAGGCAGCAAAATTGCGTGGTTGTGTGGGGGATTTGTCTGAGCCTCAGTAGAATCATCGTAAGAAGGGACACCCAATTCTCCTCTGTTGGTAACAAGAGCAGCCAGGTAAGTACCGAAAATCCATCTCTCTCTAACGAAGTGCTTAGAGCACGTGTTGGAACTCCAAAGAAATTAATTGGATTTAAAGATGCACGAAATGTGGAACAAGCGACTGGAGTGTTTTACCAAATGTGCTACGACTGTAGTGAGCCTCAACCTAAATCCAATTTTCCTTGGCAAAATTTAACATTCAAACCCATTAAATAGCCTTTGTGTTCTATGTCAGCTAGGAATAATGAAAGGCATTGGGTTACCCCACTTTTTAAAAATTACTCCCTGTTTTGACATTTTCTCTTTAAAATACAAACATGGATGGTCTCCATCAGTCAATGTGCCAGATAAGAAGGAAAATCAAGTTTGTGTTCTGCCCGAAGGCATTTCAAAGTCTAATATTTAAGTATCTATTAGGAGATTGTACTGTTGTCTGGAGAGTGCTCTGCAGATGGAAAAAAAAGAAATGGCAAGAACATTCAGCTGAGAGTCAAATCTCCTTAAATAAGGGCCCACCACATCTCTTCACCTGGCCCACAGCATGGTTTGGGGGCAAGCCATGTACAGTGGTGCCTCGCAAGACGAAATTAATCCGTTCCGCGAGAGTCTTCGTCTAGCGGTTTTTTCGTCTTGCGAAGCAACCCTATTAGCGGCTTAACGGATTAGCGCTATTAGCGGTTTAGCGGCTATTAAAGGCTTAAAGGCTTAGGGGATTAGCTGCTAAAAGGCTATTAAAGGCTATTAAAGGCTTAGCAGATTAGATAAAGGGGGGGGGAAGCGGAAAAAAAATCTCTAGACTCACAAGACATTTTCGTCTTGCGAAGCAAGCCCATAGGGAAATTCGTCCTGCGAAGCAACTCAAAAACGGAAAACCCTTTCGTCTAGCGGGTTTTCCGTCTTGCGAGGCATTCGTCTTGCGGGGCACCACTGTACACCCATCCTGTACCTAATGTCCTACATGATGTCAGGTAAGGGCAGGGCTTCAAAGGAACAATGGGAAGCTTAAAGTGAGCTCCCAAAAGTTTCTTTGTTGGTGCAAGGCACACTCCCTCTGCCCAGCTGATGGGTGGTGGGAGCACACCTTGTTCCAGGAAGGGGAATGTGTTTCCATTGAAACTGTTGTAAAAATGGAGGGGGAAATCTCCATTTTAATAGCAGTTTCAGCTCTCCCAGTGCTGCTTTTTGAACCTCCACATTTTTGGTTTAAAGAATAGTGAGAAGAGAAAAAGCTCTGCGTTGCACTTTGCAGTCAGAGCAATTGGGACGTCAAAGCACAGTGTGACCTGATGTCATAATGACATCTAGTGATTGACAGGTGGGCAGCTCTCCTCTCCTGCTTTGGTGATGATGATGATGTGTTGAATTTATATACTGTCCTATACCCGGAGGTCTCAGGGCATTTCACAGAAAAGATCAACATAAAAACCACAATATATATAATCAAAATAAAACAACCATCCAATAACACACACCCCTCAATAAAAGAACCACATTTTAAAAAAGATGTCAATCAGATCAACCAAAAGCCTGGTTAAAAAGGAACGTTTTTGCCTGGTGCCTAAAGATGTATAAGGAAGGTGCCAGGCAAACTTCCATGGGGAGAGCATTCCACAGAGGGGGAGCCACAGCAGACACGGCCCGTTCTCATGTTGCCACCCTCTGAACCTCTCATTGTAGGAGGAGGGCCCCAGAAGATGATCTCAGAGTCCAGGTAAGAGGCCGTCCTTGAGGTATTGCACTCCTGAGCTGTTTAAGGCTTTATAGGTCAAAACCAACACTTTGAATAGGACCCCGAAACTCATTGGTAGCCAGTGCAATTAGACCAGGATCAGTGTAATATGCTCAAACTGTCTTGCTCCAGTGAGCAACCTGGCCACTGAATTCTGCACTGGCTGAAGTTTCTGAACCATCTTCAGAGGCAGCCCTACATATAACACATTCCAGTAATCTAACCTTGAGGTTACCAGAGCATAGACAACAGTAGTTAGGCTATCCTTGTCCAGATAGAGGCACAGCTGGGCCACCAGCTGAAGCTGAAGGAAGGCACTCCAGGTCACTGAGGCCATCTGAGCCTTGAGTGACAGCAAAGGATCCAGGAGTACCCCCAAGCTATGAACCTGCTCCTTCAGAGGATTTGTAACTCCATCAAGAACAGGTGACCTCCCAGCCATCTGGTCTAGGGAACCACCCACTAACAGTGCCTCTGTCTTATCTGGATTGAGCTTCAGTTCATTGGCTCTCACCCAGTCCATTACCGAGGCAAGATTCCCAGCAACTGGTATTCAGAAGCATTACTGCCTCCCCATGCCACTGATCTCCTTATCCTCCATTAATTTCTCCAATCCTGTTTTAAAGCAATCCAGGTTGGTGACTTGAGCACCTATCATGCTGGTGACTTCAGCGGGATAGATATTTTCAACTCCAGTTTCCATCTTGTTCAACATTAGAGAATGAAGGAGAGGAGGATTAAACTTTGTTGTTGAGGATTTTGGCCATTTGAATCTTTGCTCTCTGTCTTCTCTCTGCTCTCTGGAGGAAACAGTGGAGGAAGGGTGGCTCGATCCAATTTTCTTGAAAGAGATACAATTATGGTCTAGGGAGTTAGTTTTGGGAGCACTCCTGTAAATGAAAAGTGGTCCTAGCAGGAAGTGGCCCTAGCAGGCTGTCACAGTCTTCTTGCAAATGACTCCAGTCCGGAATAGAAATCTCATCTCCTTAATCAACCCTTTTGCCCTGCTCTGAAGATATATAAATTTCATTTTGCTCAGACAACACTCGTCTGCAATGCTCGTATTGACATTCACTTTCAAAGGCCTCCATCTCTAGTGACGTGCCTAAAGGAAAATAATAGGTTGATATATAGTTGTTGCATATATATATATATATATATATATATATATATATATATATATCAAACACCCCAGGGTCAGTGTGTGATGGAGAGCTCTGACAGCAGGAAAGAGGGTAAGCCACCGGGCTCCAAGGCACTGCGCTGTATGATATATGCAGATGTTGGGGATAGTGAGGATCGTAGCTAGAACTCCTATAATTTCAAGGGGAAATAAGATGTGCAACACATCTGTGTCAGCTATATTAAGGCCAACATTACACAACTGGGCTGGGCAGCAGAGTGGACCAGTTACCCATCCTCTGACCCTAGCAAATGAAACAGAAGTGTATGCCAAGTGGAGGCAGAAAGTGATGTTAGCTTTATTTCCTCTAATATAATCTTCCTCAGATTATATCCCTATGATCCAAATTGGGTTTTTGATGGTCTGCTATAGGTTGGGATGGTGCAAAAATGTGATTACATTCACTGTTAAAGGCAAACGACTCAATTTGAACTTTCTAAAACAATATGTATAACAACCCTTGGCGATTCACACTTCGCAACTGCCGTGCAGTTGGATATAAAAATGCATGTTAGGGTGAAGAATGTTAAAAAATGCCTATAATTAGTGAAAACAATGTACTAAAGTTGCATTATGTTAGGGGAGATTGCTTTGTACAGATGTTAGGCAAAATTGTGCAGAAAAAAGTGTTTATCAGGAGAAACTCACACTAAAGCACTGAATTCTTTAAATGATTTTTAAGCGCTACAGAAATGTACAACTGAAGCAATAGGAGAGCTAATTTTGACTGCCTTTTATTAAAGGATACCTTAGAACATCCATTTTCAGCCTTTGGTCTCCCCCCACAACATCTGGAATGCCATAGGTTTCCCATGGGTGATTTAAGTGAAACCACTAAACCTGACTCACTAATCTGTGATGTGTTATGTAGCAAGCTGAGGGAGGGACCTCTCAGAGGTGGCACCACAATTATAGAACTCACTCCCCTCTGAGATATAACTGGTACCAACTCTTACAAAGCCTTAGGAGATAGCTGAAGATCTACCTTTCCATTCAGTCACGGCAATGAAGAGTGGGTAATTAGTATGTTAAATAAGGAAATAAAATTAATAATGATCTGTGGACATATTCAGAAAACAAAACCATAATTTTCCATGGTGCTTCCAGACTCTCCCTATTATCGAGAGAGATTCAATCGCATGTCAGCAAATTCAGGTTGAACAAGTACAGTTGATTGGGACATCTTTCTCGACAATCTCCCGCAAATCAGACTTTTTGTGATAAGAGTCCTGATGGGTGGAAAATGTGGGATAAACTTTGCTTGACACACTACCATCTAATCTCCCCAAAACACAGATCAGGATAAATACTCAATAAAGACCTAGTATCATCTAACCTCCTCGCAAAGTTTGTACAATCAAATCAGAAGGAATGCTCAAGAAACAGGTCATCTGGAAACGACCCTAGAGTGGAATTCCAGGCACGTCTCGGGACCTTTTCGGTCAAAACTCAATCAGCTCCCTTTATTTCTCTCCTTTCTCTATTCCCCGCACAAAGCCGCTGGCCGTCTCATGACCTTGTGATGTGATAGTTATATTTAACGTGGATAAATAAATATGATTGACTTTCCCTTCATGTTATACATTGAGCTACCATTTGTCGTGTACTCCTTTCACGCATGGGACTCTCCAATTCTATTTCAGCTGATGGAAATCCCATTATTTAACCCCAGCCACCAGCTTCGCTCTCTCTTTTTAGCAGCTCAGGCTACAGAGATCTGAGATTTCTAAATCTGTGTGGTGGGTTTTGGGGATCTTTTTGTTCCTGCAGCAATAGGGCACCTGAACACTTCCCCCACCCACCGCCAGCCTCCTTCCTTTTAGTGAACACTCTTCAGTGTGGCTGCATCGAGGTGAATATTAAATCTTGCGTTATTATTGCCGAGGGCGACATTACATGAGAATTATATGGCACAAATTGGGTGCTGGAGTATAATCCATTTGACATTGGGAACACTTTCTGGGTAAAACGCACTTGTCAGAACATGCATTCATGGTCGGATGTTTTGCTTTCATGCTCCTGTGAAATATTTGTGCAGTTTCATAAAGAAATAATCTCCTTGTGCAGAGAGAAAAATGCAAGGGCTACAACAGATTTCTGCCCAGTGTTCCTCTTCTACCACCAGGCTTGAGTGGAAGATGACTTTTGTGGCAGTTTTGGGGGAGGAAGGCATGGCAACAGTGGCGTAGGGATAACATAATTCTACTCATAAATCAACATCCAATGGAGTTGCCATGAGCCCAGCCCAGCCCTTCTGCGGCCTCCTGTAAACTGCCTTGATATTCATTTGAAATGAAAGGTGATTTTCAAATAATTGCAATTTATCCGTGTGTTTGTGGTGTAAACAGAGGCACATTTTGGCCAACCTTCAGAGAGAAAGCTGCCTGTAAGAAAGCTTTTAAAGATATTTTAAATGGGGGGGGTAGGGGAAAGAAATCTGGAGCCTGGTGAAAAAGTTAAAAATTTAACAGCCCTGGAATTATCTCTAACAATATTCGTGCTGGTTAGGGCATGTCAGCTTAGGCTGTAACACTTAATTTTTGCAAATTTCTTCCACTAGAGGTCTTAAAAATATGTTTTTGGGTGTGAGGAATTCAAATATGCTGTTATTTTTGTGATTGGACAACATTCAACTTGGTAAATCTATGTTTTGATTAAAAAGCACATAAACTGATCTTGGAAAACCAAAGAATTTTAACTTTACCTTCAGAAAATGTCAGGTAGAGATGATAGATAGATAGATAGATAGATAGATAGATAGATAGATAGATAGATAGATGATAGATGATAGATGATAGATAGATAGATAGATAGATAGATAGATATAGATAGATAGATAGATGATAGATGATAGAGAGAGAGAGAGAGAGAGAGAGAGATGATAGATAGATAAATAGATAGATAGATAGATAGATAGATAGATAGATAGATAGATAGATAGATAGATAGATAGAGATAGATAGATGATAGATAGATAGATAGATAGATAGATAGATAGATAGATAGATGATAGATAGATAGATGATGATAGATAGATATGATAGATAGATAAAATAGATAGATAAAATAAAATAACTGCAAGTACTTGGCAATCATTTTCAATGATTTCTATACAATTTTACACACGTCTTACTTACCAAGCCAAACTAAATTATATTAATTTAACCAAAAAATGTTTTTAACTCCCAAGTGACGTTGAGACTTTTTATCACACCACATTTTTGGAATCTGAAAGTTGAAAAATTCAACACACCCTAACGCCGGTGTGATCCACCATTGTTCAGCAAAACTGTCCAAATCGGCAACACATCTCAAATATTCAAGGTGCTTCTTCAGATCTGATTAGTTGATTTGTGAATGATTTCTGACTTATGAATGAAGAGTTCCATAACATAAGTTGGCTTTAATGTTTCATGAATAGATTTCTCTTCCCTGGTACCTGCTCCTTTGCATTGTACGCTCTATTCTTTAATAACTACTTGATATTCAGATCTACAGTAACACCAACAATGCGGTGATATTTCTACAGGATTCTTTTTTTTAAAAAAATGAAGCCTCCTATTGAAATTAAGATATTGCTAGATTAAAATTGTCAGCATTGCCGTAGATATTACAAAGGGAAATTAAATTGGAAAATGAATCGTCTCTGCATGTAATGAGAGCTAGCTACACACTAGTGAGGATTGAGTGCTGACATCTTCCCTCCATCAGCAGCCCCCTCTAACAGCTGGATGCTTTTGCACTCAGGTCCTGCTTATGGGTTAAACATAGGCATCTGGTTGGCCATTGTGACAACAGGTTGCTAGATTAAATGGCCTTTTGGCCTGCTTCAGCAGAGCTATTCTTATGTTTTAATATTCTTAGAGATGATTCTAGATCAAGTGAGAATGGAAATCTATTTGCTTTTCTTAAAAAATAAAATGCAGTGGTACCTCGGGTTAAGAACTTAATTCATTCCAGAGGTTCATTCTTAACCTGAAACTGATCTTAACCTGAGGTACCACTTTAGCTAATGGGGCCTCCCACTGCCGTCGAGCCGCCACTGCACAATTTCTGTTCTCATCCAGAGGTAAAGTTCTTAACCCAAGGTGCTACTTCCGGGTTAGCGGAGTCTGCAACCTGAAGCATTTGTAACCCGAAGCGTTTGTAACCCAAGGTTCCACTATGTTGAGTTTCAGAACAAACTCCCCAAAACATACAAAATAAAACCATACTGTGTCGATAACTCAAAAAACACCAGTCCTTCTTTCCCCCGGCTTCCACGGACCTGACCCTCCACCCTGTTCTCAGAAAGCTTTTTGCCATTAGCTACAACCAAAGCATATTCATACAACTTGGTTGCAGCAGAAATGGCAGAGGGGCCAGGCTGCCCCCAAGACTGAAGGGGCCTGGTGTGTGATGCGTAAGTGTGGTGTCAGATGTGTGCGTTGTCACGTCGGCTGGAGGAGGCCAAGCACTCTGGAGGAGTCGTCCATTGAAGCTGCAATGCCTGTCGTGCAATGCGCACGACATCTCACACACATGACACGTGCAGTGCCCCTCAACATTGAGGGGGCCCGCCCCCTTCCAACAAATATTGGACCACCCCCCTTACTGGCCCTGCTTCACATCCTGTTTTTGAATGGAATGCAGTGGTGCCTGGGGCCCATTTGGACTGGTAGGGCAGAAGGCGGGGAGACCATCAATACGGGGAAACCAGAGATGGTGGCAGGCAGAGGCAACTAGTTTTTATCGCCTATCTTTCTCCCTGCTGAACTCTACAAAGACAACACTGAGACTAAGAAGGAGGAAGCTGACAGGCAGTGTCACCCACCGGACTGGATGTAATGCACTTTTCCGTGTATAAGACAAGGGTTTTTTACTCAAAAAAAAAGTTAAAAATTGGGGGAAAGGTGTCTTATACATGGATAGTGCAGAGGGGGGGCGGGCGATTGGTTGCAGTTGCAAGCAGGATCTTGCTGTTGGGTGGATGAATGCTGTCTGCTGAAAGGCTGCTTTGTATTGGCTGCTGCTTCAGCAATTTTATGTGTGTCGTGATAGTTAGCGCCTGTCAGTTGGGTGAGTGATTTTCGGCATCCCCCCCCCCCAAAAAAAATTGTTCAACAACTGTGGGGATTCCCCCCCACCCCGCAAAAAAGTTCAACAAAACTGGTCAATCCTCCCCCAAAAAAGCTCAGCAACTTTTGGCAATCTTCCCACATTTTCTTTAATTCTTAAATTTCTGATAATGCCCTTTGCTTGTCCAGATAGGGAATACAAAGGGGTGTGTGACTGTGTGCAGAAACTAACCACTGCACAATTGTAAAAATGGCATTATTTGCACCACTACTTTTGTCTCTGACTCCACCTCCCATTGGCATGGAACTCTTGGGAGGTTGTCCACAATGGAGTGTGGCTTCAAGCTGGGCAGTGATGGTGCAGGAACCTCATCTCTGTCTCTTCTGACCAGCTCTTCAGAAATGAGCTTGTATTCCTCTCTGCTTAGTCCCACCCTGAAATATGTAATGGCTATATTAATAGAATTCTAAACAAATGAAATGGAGGGCCGACAGCGGTTTCTCATGTGAGCAGCCAGAACATAATTCTTGCTTGAATGTAATGCAGATCCACTGATGGGAGCTAATTCTGTTGTTCATTGAGTTCCGCTAACAGAAGAATCAATCCTGTGATGCAACTCCAGAAATCTGTATCCCGGAAGAGCATAGCAACAAAGTGTTGCCAAGTTCCCACAGTAATCATTCAACCTCACTTCCCCCAGTCAACGCGGATTGGTATCCAATAACACGCTGTTTCAAAGACCTCCTGAATGAATCAACAGTGTAATGTGATGCCATTGTTTATTCTCCTATCTATACATCTAAAAGAAAATAGGGAGCAAGTTAATAATCAGGAATCAAGTGAATAATAAGGAGGCAAATGAATAATAAGGATGTGTTCTACGTAAGGCTGCCTCTGAAGACAGTACGGAAACTTCAGCTAGTGCAGAATTCAGTGGCCAGGTTGCTCGCTGGAGCAAGACAGTTTGAGCATATTACACCGATTCTGGTCCGAATGCACTGGCTACCAGTTAGTTTCCAGGCTCAATTCAAGGTGCTGGTTTTGATGTATAAAGCCTTAAACGGCTCAGGACCACAATACCTCAAGGACTGCCTCTTTCCATATGAATCTACCTGGACCCTGAGGTCATCTTCTGAGGCCCTCCTTCATGTGCTTCCTCCTCCATTGAGAGGTTTGGAGGGTGGCAACATGAGAATGGGCCTTCTCTGTAGTGGTTCCTCATCTGTGGAATGCTCTCTCCAGGGAAGTCCACCTGGCACCTTCATTATACACCTTTAGGCACCAAAAATGTTCCTTTTTAACCAGGCCTTTGGTTGATCTGTTTGGCATCCTATACCCTTTTAAAAGGGACGCAGGTGGCGCTGTGGGTTAAACCACTGAGCCTAGGACTTACCGATCAGAAGGTCGGCAGTTCGAATCCCCGCGACGGGGTGAGCTCCCGTTGCTCGGTCCCTGCTCCTGCCAACCTAGCAGTTCGAAAGCATGTCAAAGTGCAAGTAGATAAATAGGTACCGCTCCAGTGGGAAGGCAAACGGCTTTTCCATGCGCTGCTCTGTTTCGCCAGAAGCGGCTTAGTCATGCTGGCCACATGACCCGGAAGCTGTATGCCTGCTCCCTTGGCCCATAAAGCAAGATGAGCGCCACAACCCCAGAGTCGGTCACAACTGGACCTAATGGTCAGGGTTACCTTTACCTTTACCCTTTTAAAATGTGGCTCTTTTTTGGGGGGGGTGTTATTGGGTTGTTGTTTTTATTCTGATTATAAATGTTGTGATATTTTCCGTGAACCGCCATGAAACCTCCAGGTATAAGGCAGTACAGTGGTACCTCGGGTTAAGAACTTAATTCGTTCTGGAGGTCAGTTCTTAACCTGAAACTGTTCTTAACCTGAGGTACCACTTTAGCTAATGGGGCCTCCCGCTGCCGCCGCTGCCACCACAATTTCTGTTCTCATCCTGAAGCAAAGTTCTTAACCCAAGGTACTATTTTTGGGTTAGCAGAGTCTGTAACCTGAAGCGTCTGTAACCAGAGGTACCACTGTATATAAACTCAGTGAAGAAGAAGAGCAGCTTTCCCTCCCAGGAAGCAGGAAGCAACAGAGACACTTGGAGTTGGGGATGGGGGCAGCAATGTCACCCTGCCTGTGCTGCCCCACCACCTGCTACTGCCTACCTGACCCAGTGGGCATCAGCCACCACTGTCTATGAGTATGATCACCATAAGGTCAGACATTCACTTTTACACTGCTGTTTTTAACCTGGAACCTTCTCTGTTAGCTATGGGCTCTCACCAATGTTCCTATTATGGTCTCTCCCAAACATTCCTCATAATAGATGCCAGGCAGCTCAAGTTTCATGATAAATATTATAGATTGTTCCCTCTGTGTCCACAGATTTGCAGATCTCTTTGACCCAGTTAAAATGTGTTGCAAATCGCAAAAAGATAGCATTCGTTTTACACAGGGGGTTAAATTTAGTCCTCGAGTCCACTCTGCTTACTATCTTTTAAAGTAAGTGTGCAGATAATTACATTTCTCATGCTTTTGTTACACCTCAGTAAATATTGTCTATAAAAATCAATTGGCATTTACTGTACTTAATGTATCATAATGATTCTTATAAATCTAAATTATCCTTATAAATCTAAATTAAATGCCTAGGTTTAAATGTATTTAAGACATTTAATTAATAAAGTGTTACCAAATAACCATTACTAATCTGTTTACTTCAAGCCTGATTTCCATTTCCAAAGGATTTATTTCTTGGCTACACATGTGAGAGGGATGCAAGGAGAACGTGATAGGGTTTTTTATTATTATTTTTAAAAACAGCTTCTGCAGGTATTATCAATGCACACTAGAAAAAAAAGATCTTTTTCCAACCAGTCAGTTCCCCCCCAGGAACATGCTCCCTGAACATGACTAGAATCATGGGGTTGCAGCCAATGCTAATCCTACTCAGGGTAGAACCATTGAAAATAATGGACACGACTAATGTAGAATTTTCCACACGTTGCCTGCAATGAAATCCCTTTAACTAGAGATGTTGGAGAGTGAACCTGAGACCTTCTGCATGCAAGGGAGATGTGATTGCATTGAACTATGTTTGCCTTAGGGCAAGGGTGCACAACCTGTGGTCATCCATATGCTTCTGGACTACAACTCCTATCAGCCCCAAACAGCATAGCCAGTGATAAGGGATGATGGGAGTTGTATACTGGTGATAAGTAGCTCAGGGTGGCTCATGATAGTGCTGGCTCTGATTTTGCTCTTAAGACATCACTTACAAGGTTCTGAATCTGTAATAAAGGACTTCCTGTTGATGTGCAGAGTCTACCATTTACATCCACACCATACAATAATGACCGCTCCCCACATAAAACAGGGGGTGCCCTTTGCATGGACGCGCGCAGCCCTTGGATCTGGAGCGGCTCCATCAGCATAGGCTTGGCTTCGCCTTCCCTCAGGTGAGATACCTGGAGGTCTCCGCCCACCTCAGTCAGCTATCCAATCCCACCTGGGGGAAGCGTTGCAAGGAGACCAGGCCAGGTAGGGGAGGGACTACCTGCCCACACAATAGAGGGAGGATCTTACCTGGGAATCCTCACTTACCACTTTTAACTTCCTGGAGACTGTGTTTTGTTGAGGGTGCTGGGAATTGTAGCTCTTTGAGGTGTCTCCTGATAACTCTCAGCACCCTCAATAAACTACAGTTCTCAGGATTTTCTTGGGGAAGCTGTGACTTTGAACAATGGTATAAGAACACTTTAAATATATCGTGTGGGTGTGACCCCACTCTAAGCTGCAGGCACCACAACTCAGCTGAAGCTGTGGTTAGGATCAGAATTTTAAAAAGATGGTTTGGATTTGCCTATGTTTATTTTAAAGTGTACACACACACACATGCACACGCATATGCACAGGTCAGTAAAAACCCAAACAAAACTGGTATTTAATGTAATGAGGCTTGTCCAGATCAAGTTATTTAGAACTTTGCAGCTTCCATGAAATTGCATGCATGGAATAGCACTCCAAGTCATGTGGAATTCTGATAATTTATGCTCCTACGCTTACCGCAACCTCAATTAAAAACATTTGTGCAGGTTGTTGACTGCACCTTGGACTTGGTTATATCAAGTGTGGGGGTAACCTCACAATATCAATAAATAGAGAGCTCTGAGCAGGTCTGTACAGGGCCCCTTAAGCTAGTAAGTGGCTCATTTCTTGTGAAATGTACTAGAGAAGCTCAAACATTCGATGAAATTAATCTCTTAACTGCAGAATTCACTTGCTCAGTTGAGTTTCATATGATGAATTTAGTTCAGTGTGTGAGAACATATGTTGCAGGTCCCAGATTCAATCCTTGCCTTCTTTGAGGGTGGCAATTGAGAAACAGGTAACAGATTTGGGGCAGGGGGCGGGAATAACTCTGTCTGAAACTCTGGAGTTTCTGTCAGTCAGAATAGGCCATCCCAGGCTTGTACACTCCTAATAAATTGCAAAGCAGTGTGGAAATGTGGAAAACAGACCTTCAGATTGGGAAAAAATGAGAATGCGAGAGAAACTGAAATTGAAATTTCCACCCATCCCAAGTTAAAGTTGGGTCTGGTTTTTGTCTGCTACGAAGTAATAAAAGTAATTTGTAGGAGAGTTATAAAAATGATATTGCCAGTTACTCTGAAATCTACAAATGACATGAATTACTGAGGATACATATTGTAGCAGGATGACACACTGAGATGGCAATTGCTCAGTTGAGTTCACTGTAAAGAACAGAGAAGGGATAGTGAATCTATTTCCATTCTGAGTAACTTGTGTGTGTAAATGTGTGTTTGTATGCTACCTATAATTTCATTTTATTGTGTTTCCACATTTATTTATGTCATAAAATTTATACACAGCTTGTTTGAGGGGGAAATTCCTTCAAAGTGGTTTACAAAGAGAATAAAACAATGAAACCATTAAAACCAGTTTAACCAACTATGTAAAATGTTCAAAACTGGCATTTTCCTGGCACTTCTTATTCCTCTCTAAACTTCCTCTCAAAATATTTAAATGTATAGTTTCAATATTAATATAAATTGATATAATAATGTGAAGTGGAAGAAGTATTTAAAAACATTTTAAATTGCATATTTTGAAAAGTTTAAAATGCTGAAAACAGCTTCACCATATTCAGAGAAATGGAAAATCCAGCAGATAACTGGTTCATAAATAAGTCCAAAAGGTGTGACTCAGGTCACTTCATATCACAATGATCAAATTTCCCAAACAACCCCAGTTTTTAAGCTAATTGGCCCAAGAACAGGCTCTCAGTTGGGGGTGGAGAATCCGTGAATTTTGGTTTCTCTGTTTCCCACTGAGAAGGTGAGTTCTCAATATTTCCACATGTTTGTGATTTGTTTTTTAAAGCTGCTCATGAAAATTCACCAGCATTTTAGTGTGAATTCATCCTAACAGACACATTTTTGTATGCAATTTTACCTTATGCATTTTCAAAAGCAATTAAGCCTTATATAATGCATTTTTGCATGCCATTTTCAAAAATATATAATTCCTTTACCCTAGTATATACTTCTTCTTCTTTATACATTACTGTGTAATGCTGCAAGGGATCCCAAATTACAAAATTCAGAGAAGTGCATCCTTTTTTGAAAAATGGCTGTGTTTCAGGGTTGTTCTTAAAAAGTGTGAATTAGGTAAGGTTGTCTATGAATGAAAGCAGAATTAGATTTCTTCCCCAACCCTACTTTGTGTGTGGACTGGCTCTGGACTTGTAAGTCAGGCCCTGGACATTCCTCCTCCAGGAAAATATGGACCTGCATATACTCATTACTGAGGGCTGATTGTTCACTATCAGCTAGGATATGCCTAGGGCTACCTCCCACCCAGTTCTGCAAATGTTTGGATCTGTGTAGTAAGGGCCAATGAGATGATTTCCTCCCTGCCCCAGAATGATCTTCTCAAGCTGAGGAGACATGTTAGCTTCTCCCACGTGGTTCTCGACTACATGTTACACAATCACTGAAGGAAACAGCTATGTGGAAGTCTCTCTCATGCGACTGAAAGTGATATATGAATTGCTTTTAAGCTAACACTACTGGTATATAACACTGTGTGAGTTCTGGCAAAGCATGTAATCCATTTTCATCAGTGCTCCACAGACTTAGTGGCTTTGGGGTAATCAGTATATCATTGGCTGTCTAATCCACTTAAAGCATATTAACCACATCAAGTTTTAATCATTGCTGCCTTGCCTGCTGCTGGTGAAAAGGGATTTGCAAGTGTCTGATGAGGAAGGGCTTCCATAAAGTCCAAAGTTTCAATCATGTCTTCATTTCTGATCGTGTGGGTATTTGCGATAGCTGTGCTGTTAAGTTTCAGCAATGGACAGCATTGGCGTACTTCATGTGGCTGTGGCTCTGGAAGTATTCCAAGGGACTGGAGGAGATTTATAATTATTTAGACTTAAGACCACATAACACCAGTCTTGAAAGACCTACACTGGCTCCCAGTACATTTCCGAGCACAATTGAAAGTGTTGGTGCTGACCTTTACAGCCCTAAACAGCCTCGGTCCAGTATACCTGAAGGAGCATCTCCACCCCCATCATTCAGCCAAGACACTGAGGTCCAGTGCCAAGGGTCTTCTGGTGGTTCCCTCGCTGCGAGAAGCCAAGTTACAGGGAACCAGGCAGAGGGCCTTCTCGGTAGTGGCACCTGCCCTGTGGAACACCCTCCCAACAGATGTCAAAGAGAAAAACAACCACCAGACTTTTAGAAGACATCCGAAGGCAGCCCTGTTTAGGGAAGCTTTTAATGTTTAATTGATGGTTGTATTTTAATATTCTGTTGAAAGCCACACAGAGTGGCTGGGGAAACCCAGCCAGATGGGCAGGGTATAAAATATAAATTATTATTAAGATAAAGTGGCCCTAAGTGTTCACCTGCTTTGATTTTGGATTTCTGATTGGCCCCAACTGACCATTGCTTGGCACCATTTTTTTTTAAACTGAGCCTTCTTCCTGAGAATAACAAACCTACCCAATTGTGAATCATGTAGTGAGAGCAATTTGTGACACTATCCAACCCAGAGGTGGGGATCCTCCAGCCTGAAGGCCCAGCAGACCTCTTCCATTTGATCTGTGAGGCTGCTTTGGCCTAGCCACACTCACCTGCCCTTCACCTGATCCTAAACTTCATTGAGCCCATCCAGACTGCTCTCGGGTGGGTTAAGGCAGTCCTGGATCAGGTTGGGTCAACTGAGAGTGATCCAGAACTGTCAAAAGTGTGGGGGATATTAAGCATACAGTTAGGTGGTGAGGAGGCATGAGAACTAAACATTGTGTGCAAGACTGTACCATTTCCTTCTTTCCTCCATTTCTCCTTACTACTCATCGCTAGGACTGTGCCAGGTCCCCAGTTCAGTTGAAGGCCTGAGTCAGGATTGGGCTCAGATCAAGATTGTCAAATTGTGCCCTGAATCAGATCTGGGAGATCCAGGGACAGCCTGTCCCATTCCATTGGCTGAGGCAAAACGGGAATGTGAGACCCAACTTCCAATGCCCCTCTCAGCAGCAGCAGAGGGTGGGAGGCCGTGGGGCACTGCCCCACAGGATTTCACTGCCTGAGGTGTCTGCTTCAGTCCACCTCATGGGCAGCCTGGCCCTGGGGAGGGTCTTGCAGAGCCCTAACAAGAAAAATGTCTTGGGTGGGGGGGTGAGGAGATGAGGACGAACCATGAAGGAATGCAGCTGCAAAAAGGATGGCAGAAACCAGGGGTGGGATGTGCTGCTTTAAAATGCTGCAAGGCGTCCTCAAACTCGGGTGGCGGAGAAATCCAAATAAATAAGCCAATCTCACTTTTAAGGCCAGCTTGATTAGTACAGAAGAGCTGTATTTCAAAAAATAAGAATGAGACCATCACTTACCCAATTTTTCAGCTTCCCAGCATGCTGCCCTACTGAAACAATTTGACAAGCTGATACACTGCACTTATAAATGTTACAAGCCTCTATTATTTATTTCTCAGGCACAGAATTACCACATGTTGTTCTTCCTCTCCCCACGCCTCGCCCCCCCCCTTCTTGCCTGATCCAGCTTCTGAAACCACTTAAAATGCTTTCGATCAAAGATGTGCAGGGCTGCTGACAGACTGCAGACAAGACGATGCTTGCCAAAGATGCCATTAATTATCAGACTTTTAAGCAGCCCTGAAAGCATGTGCACACACACACACACTTGATTTTGATTTAATGTCTAAATAAGCTCATTTGCAATAGTAAAGAGGTGTTCCCCATCCTGTTAATTGAAGAGCAACATGTTTAAGCTTTTCTTGTACAAGTAATCTGGTTGTGGAAGTTGCATGAATTGGGAATGAATAACAGAAAAAATAGACGGTGGTGTCATCAAAGCCTGTAGGACATCAGTTGAGCTGCTGAGATCCCAGCAGCTGCCTTTCTCTGCTCTTTTCTCTTTCTTCCATACAGATTTTTTCAAACAGACACACACATATGGAAATAAATTTATAAATAAGTGCAACAAAATTGATTTGCATCTCCCCGCTCTCGATAATGAGTTAGTAGCATATATGCAGGAGGTCCCCATGTTCAACCCCTGGATGTTCAGGCAGGGCTGAGAAAGACACCTGCCTGAAACCCTGGAGCGCTGCTGCCAGTCATGTTGACAATACAGAGTTAGATGGACCAATGGGACTGACTCAGTATAAGACAGCTTCCTGTCTTCCTATGTAGGGATGTGGGGGAGAATTGCGGCTTGTATTTTAATTTTTTTTTTAAAAAATAATATTTATTAATTTTCAACTGTTTAAACACAACAAAACAGAAAGACCAAAAAAGAAAACAAAAAAAGAAAGAAAAGGAAAACATAAAACTAACAAAGCAAGACACCAACCATTTCAAACACAAAACAATTTCAATGTCTTATCTTTCATTCCCTTATTTCCACGACCTCCTCACACCTCCCTTTTTGTTTTCCACGTCTATTAATTATTTCAGCAATTCCTTTCCATCTTCCTCTGTTTTCTATCCTATAATTATCTTAACATATTCTAGCCTTTTTTCCCCTTTAATACACTGTTAATCTATTTATACTTGATTCCTTATAGCATTTCTGCTAAAGCCATATAACTTCATTCCAACATTTTTCTAGCATTCATTATTTTTACAGTATTTCTATAAATAGTCTTAAACTTTTTCCAGTCATCTTCCACCAACTCTTCTCCCTGGTCTCGGATTTCTGCCAGTCGTTTCCGCCAATTCCATATAGTCCATCAACTTCATCTGCCATTCTTCCCGAATGGATAAATCTTGTGTCTTCCAGTACTTCACAATGAGTATTCTTGCTGCTATTGTTGCATACATGAAATAAATTCAATCCTTCTTTAACACCAATTGGCCGACCATGCCCAGGAGAAAGGCCTCTGGTTTCTTCGAAAGGGTATATTTAAATACCTTTTTCATTTCGTTATGAATCATCTCCCAGAGTGTCTTAATCCTTGGGCATGTCCACCAAAGGTGAACTCTAATCCTCAAATTTGTCTGTTTTTCTTTAAGTTCAGTCATAGCAAGCGTCAACTTATGTTCATCAAATTGCCTCTGTAGGGCTGGGGCTCTCTTTCTCTTTCTCTGCAGTTGTGTTACTTTACCTTCAGCAGCAACAACTTTTTCCCTGACTTCCTCCACACTTTGCCATATCAAAATAGGTTCTTGTATCAATTTCTGGGTGGTTTCTGTATTGGTATTATTTATACTTTCTGTGTTTAAGTTAGTTTTAGTAATTGAAACATCCACTTTCGCATTTATCATGTCCATTTTCCTGTGAAGCTGATCCAATGAGTCATTTATCTTATATAATGCAGCCACTAAAGCCTCTTCTGTCGACATTCTCCTGGATTATTACCAAGTCCTTCCAGACCTTAATGTTTTGTCAGCAGTTGACTGGTCTCTTTTTCCTCTTCCATTTACCATAACACTTAAAAGATTCAAGGTCAGTCCCAGAGTCTCACGGTTTTTAACTTGCAGCTGGAAATTCCCCTAGCCCAGCTCTTGTAAAACAACCGGTTTCAAAGGCTTCCACTAGGGGGAAACAGTTTCTATTTGTAATAGTCAATAGTATCCTCTTTTAAACAATTTCAAACAATTAGTTTCAAATTAGTTTCAATTTTCAGTTACTTTTACTCCTTTTTAAAGCAGCCGGAGACAGTAGAAACAATGTATTTCTCTTATTTAACTAGCTGTCAATGAACGTTCTAAACTCTGTCAATGAACATTCCAAAAGACGTCAGTCCTACTAGCAGCCCGTTTCCAGGGTCAGAGCGGCGGTGTTTTAAGTCTCTTCACTCTCTCCCGCAGGCATACCCAATCCGCAACTTCCCCCTCTCTTCTCCTGCCTCCAAGACAGGGTTTAATGTTCTTTACCATTGGAAATTTGATCTTTTACAAAAGACCTTCCAGGACTCCAGCTTGCAACTTCATTGCCTCAGTCTATTTACAAAAGGGGAAGGCGGACTTCCTGTTTTGAACCTCCCCGTTACGGTACCAAATTAAACATTTAGAAATCCAAATCTTCCGCTTCAGTTCTACTCACGGGTAATTACTTTAAAGTCAAATTGTCCACAGGAAAAGGTCAGCGCTCTCTGGCAACAGCTATGCAGCTTCGCTCCGTGGAAGAAGCAAACGATTCGATGCACCGCGCCGCTCACCCCACGTCGCTCCGGAGCCCCAAAAACCGGGGTTCCCCACGAGTGGGGGAGGCGCAAAAGGTGCCCGCCGAATCCCACGTTCACAGGCTTCTCCCGCCTGTGATTTTAACGGGTCTCCGCCTTCGCCGTGGCGGCCAGACCCAGATTCCCACAGAGCGGATTCCTCCCGGTCAGAAGAATTCCGCCATTGCCGGAGGCGCCTCCCCGGAAGTCCCACGGCTTGTATTTTAATAGGAGCCTACTTGATTTTCATGTCCTGAAACAATATGCAAACTGAAACACTGCTATCAAGTGGTACCTCGGTTTATAAACTTAATCTGTTCCATAAGTCCATTCTTAAACTGAAACCGTTCTTAAACTGAGGCGCACTTTCCCTAATGAGGCCTCCCACCCCTGGTGCCCTTCCACCATTCGGATTCCGTTCTTAGATTGAGGTAAAGTTCGCAAACCAGGTCGAGGGTGCAATGAGATTAAGGACCACTATCTGAATGGTAATCTTGGTCATTTGATTGCCCTTTTTACCCATTTCTGTCTTTTTATTTGTATATATTGTTGGTTTTATGTTGCTATGGCCGTTGGCTAATGCGAATAAAGTAATGTGCAATGTGAGTAGGGGGAAAAACCACTCAGCGATTGTGTTGTTGTTTAGTCATTTAGTCGTGACACCTGGCTTGAGAGCAGTACATGCGAAAAGGATCTAGGAGTCTTGGTTGACCACAAACTTGACATGAGCCAACAGTGTGACGCGGCAGCTAAAAAAGCCAATGCAATTCTGGGCTGCATCAATAGGAGTATAGCATCTAGATCAAGGGAAGTAATAGTGCCACTGTATTCTGCTCTGGTCAGACCTCACCTGGAGTACTGTGTCCAGTTCTGGGCACCACAGTTCAAGAAGGACACTGACAAACTGGAACGTGTCCAGAGGAGGGCAACCAAAATGGTCAAAGGCCTGGAAACGATGCCTTATGAGGAACGGCTAAGGGAGCTGGGCATGTTTAGCCTGCAGAAGAGGAGGTTAAGGGGTGATATGATAGCCATGTTCAAATATATAAAAGGATGTCACATAGAGGAGGGAGAAAGGTTGTTTTCTGCTGCTCCAGAGAAGCAGACACGGAGCAATGGATCCAAACTACAAGAAAGAAGATTCCACCTAAACATTAGGAAGAACTTCCTGACAGTAAGAGCTGTTCGACAGTGGAATTTGCTGCCAAGGAGTGTGGTGGAGTCTCCTTCTTTGGAGGTCTTTAAGCAGAGGCTTGACAACCATATGTCAGGAGTGCTCTGATGGTGTTTCCTGCTTGGCAGGGGGTTGGACTCGATGGCCCTTGTGGTCTCTTCCAACTCTATGATTCTATGATTCTATGACTCTTCGTGAACCCATGGACCAGAGCACGCCAGGCACTCCTGTCTTCCACTGCCTCCCGCAGTTTGGTCAAAGTCATGCTGGTAGCTTCGAGAACACTGTCCAACTATCTCGTCCTCTGTCGTCCCCTTCTCCTTGTGCCCTCCATCTTTCCCAACATCAGGGTCTTTTCCAGGGAGTCTTCTCTTCTCATGAGGTGGCCAAAGTATTGGAGTCTCAGCTTCAGGATCTGTCCTTCCAGTGAGCACTCAGGGCCGACTTCCTTAAGAATGGATAGGTTTGTTCTTCTTGCAGTCCATGGGACTCTCAAGAGTCTCCTCCAGCACCATAATTCAAAAGCATCAATTCTTTGGTGATCAGCCTTCTTTATGGTCCAGCTCTCACTTCCATACATCACTACTGGGAAAACCATAGCTTTTACTATACGGACCTTTGTTGGCACTCAGAGATTAGGAAACCCTGAATCAAAGGAAATAGTGGCTAGAAAGCTCAGTCTATGCTGTTCAGTAGTTATACCCAGAAGCAAAGAATGCAGGGAAGGGGGAAATAAATAATATTCTGAGTGTTTATCATCATTCAAAGCTTCAGTGTCACTGCTAACCTCACTTCCCCAACCATCAAGAGAGGGGAGATGCAAATCATATTTTTGTTGCCCCCTACTTATATATTGTTTCTGTTCCTTTTTTTAAAAAAAAATCTCTACAAAATATTAGTGTCCGCTCTCTCCCCTCCGCTTCTCCCAAGATAGACAGTAAAGAAACACAGCACACATGCAATTATTAGTGTTTGGAAAACTTGGGAACAAAGTAAACTTCTCCTCCCTCTTTTTTCTCATAGGGGCTCAGTCGGGGGGCTAAAGAGAGAGAGGGGGAAGCTCTTTCCCCAAAGCTCTCTTTGCTATCTGCACCGCAGGATCTGCAGACTTCAAACACAGTAACTTATATCAAAAACTCCAATCCGCAATTTATGCTGCCGGCATAAAGCCAATCCAATTTCAGTGAGGCGGCTTCTTTGAGGATTTGGCTGAAAAATCATAAAGAAAAACCCCACCACACAACAAAGTGAAATAATGAGCTATCCTCGGTGGGTCGAAGCAAGGCGTAGCCTCAGTAAAGTCAATAGTTTGGCATCAGTTTAGTCTCGCTAAGGACATGATCCCATGGAAGATGGGTAGACAGCAGGATGGAATGGATGTCAGCTGTGACAGAGGCACCTTCAAGTAGTAGGGAGAGATCTGGCTGGGAATATATATATATATATTGAGGAGGAATGGAGAGTGGCAGACAATTCAATGGTTATTTATTTATTACATTTCTATCCCACCTTCCGAGGTGGTATACATGGTCCTCCTTCTCCTCACAACAACCCTGTGAGCTTGAATATGGCCCTTCAGGCCTCTCTACCTGGCCTTCAGGACTCACCTAGAATGTGCCTCCCTCTGTGGTTGTGCCTGGCTGGAATGGGTCCCTGAACCCCCATTTGTGTGTGCAGGGGTGCCAACTGGAAAATAATATTGGCGGCCCCACATGACGTGGTGCACACACACCTTTTCAGTGGCAATGCCCATCATCTTTGGGGGGCAGCGGCCCCCTCAAATATATTATGGGAAGGAGAAGACCCCTTGGCCCTGAGGAGTTGGCTCCTGTGTGTGTGTGTTGGTGGTGTGGAAGTGTCTGTGATGGCCTGGGACATGGGCTCGGATTCGGAACCAGAGGAGTCTCAGTCTGCACTGGATCCTTTGCCTCAGGCATCATCTGACCCAAGTCTGGGGCCTGATCCTGAAGAGTCCCAGTCTGCACAGGTTCCCCTGCAACAAACACCAGCTGGGCCGAGTCAGGGGCCTGAGCGTGCCCTGGCTCCAGATGCAGGGATTACCTCGTTGCCTTCACCTGGGCCATCACTTACAGCTGCTCCACTACCGGTTGGGTCAGGGGGGGCTGAGGCGGCCTATGGGTCTAGTAACCCACCGACGTCTCCCAAGCTGCAGAGACTAAGGGCTGAGAGAAGGAGGGACCTGAGTACTTGCAGGAGGAGTGCTCGCCTTCGTGTGAAACAAGGAGGTGAGTCGCTGGGGGATCAGGACTGGCCATTACCCCAACAAAGATAAAAGGCTGTCGGACCCTGCCCCAGGTTGCGGGAGCAACATTGCTGTTTGCCAGTTCCTGTACCTGTCCTTGCCTGGTTTCCTGCCTTGGCCATGTCAGACTGACTCCTAGCAGAACCTTTGGATTCTGGACCAGTCCTGGACCGTGTTTCATGGGTTACCCCTGGGCCCAGCACAGTGTCTGGCCTTTGCATAGCTGAAACATAGCCTACACTATAAAGGCAAGAGCTGTGGCCTTTGCATAGCTGAAACATAGCCTACACTATAAAGGCAAGAGCTGTGGCCATTTTTGCCTCGAGCCCCACCACTACTGGCATACTACCCACCCCTGAAGGCTACCTGCCTTTTACCAGTTTTGTCTAGTTCACCAACTACAGCCACTCCTTGATAGGGATAGTCTGGCCACAAGGACTGTGGTCCTTGTGTTGGTAACCTCAAGGCTGGATTACACTCCTTGTGGGGCTGCCCTGGGGTCTGGTTCAGAAGCTCCAGCTAATGCAGAATGCAGTGGCCAGACTACTGATGGGGGCATCTGCCCAGCAACCTGGGGCATCTTTGTTAAAGCATCTGTGCTGGCTGCCCATCTACTACTGAGCCAGGTTCAAGATCCCTGAATTCATTTACAAAGCCCTGAACAACTTAGGTCCAGGGTCCCTCAGTGTCGAGGCTGAAGTCAAGCGTAGGTCAGCGATAAAACAATAAATCACCTGAGGGCAGCGAAGTTAACTCTTTATCCAAGGAAGCAAACCACATTCGGGCCTGGTAATCTCAACAACTCTTCCCAATAGGCCTTGCCCCAATGAAGCAGTTGTGAGGACTGATGGCCCACCCATACCTTCCACCCACTCTCTAATGCTCCCATCCTGGTTCCTTCCCCAGTAGTCTAAGACCTTGCCTCTCGTTCTTCTACCCTCTTCATTTCTCTCTGTGTTCTGGGAGACTGGGGCAGGGGAGGGGAACTAGTCACAGCAGAAGGGGGAGACCCCCTAGATTCTTCCACGGCCTGCCTACACTCAGACTCTTGACCCCACTCCTCTCCAGCCTCTGTGTCTGCACTGCTCTCTTCCACAGCTTCTTCCTGCTCACTAAACCCTTTCCCTTTTCTGCTCCTGACACCTCCCAGTCTGCCCCCTCTTCTCCCTCTGACCACTCATGGTCTTCCCAGCACCATACCCCTGGCTCTCAGCCTTCTTCCCCTGGGTTCCCCAACTGCTGCCTCCCACCACTTCTCTGCATCCATCCACAGGAGCAAAGTCCAAGAGCCCTGAATACAGAGAGGGAAATGAGGAAGGGGCATAGCTTAGTGGCACAGTACCTGCTTGGGATACAGAATGTCCTGGGTTCAATCCCCAGCATCTGCAGGTAGGGCTACTCTGCATCCAGCCAGTCCATGAAGCTCAGGGATTGCCTGAACCCTTATATCCCCATCCAATCAGTGAGATCATCTGCAGGAGTACTGTTGGTTGTTTCATGAGTTGGCAAGGCTCATTTGACAACAAGAAGAAACTGAGCTTTCAGGGTCGTTGGCCCAGTCCTGCGGAATACTATGCCGACAGAGATTCAGCAGGCGCCTTCTGTGCCAACTTTCAAATGCTTGCTGAAAAGATTTCTATTCTGCAGGGCCTATTTAGGCAATTAAGAATACAAACTTCCACAATGGTTAATTGGTTCTGTTTTTAACTCTTTTGTGGTCTTTGTATACATTTTTTTTAAGTTTTATTGCTGTAAACAACTTTGGTTTTTACAACGACATAGCGGTATAAAGAAATAAAATAAAGAAGGGAATGCAGCCCTTAGTTTAAAAGAGGTTCGACACCCCTGATATATAGAATTGATATTCATGGAGGCAAATGGCGGGAGTTACATGAAATGTCTATACTGACAAGTTATCTTGGCTGTGAATGGAAGCAGGGGGCAGGCAGAGTACTAAAGGTTAAGGGTGCCTACTCTTTATGGAGTCAGCATTTCTACCAACCCAGTCTAATTGCCCTGATCTGTAATAAAAGTAAAAGTAACCCCACTACCTATTACTTTTAATTTACAACATGCTACCAAAGATGAAATTAACTTGTACTTAATTTTCAAAGGCGCCGTGGTTAGAATCCAATTCTTTCCACTTCTCCTTTCCCAGTGTTAGAAATGAGCTGTGTCTAACTATAGTAGAGGAAGTCAGAATGGGATGTTAGCTTTAATTGTTTGCTAATCATCTCAAGCCTGGGTATAATCCATGCTTGCCGCTGCATCTTAATGAGTTGGGAGCTAATTAACTTTGTTTATCCTTTAAATATTGAAAGTTCCTTGCACTTTATGCCATTATGCTCTTGAAACTTCTTCGGTTTGGTTTAGCGAATCAGAAGGCTTATTTTTAAAAAAGAACAAGGGTAAAAGAAAAGATACGGTAATCCAAGTTTGCTTTCCTTTCTGGCATGGTTCACCCATGGCCTTTCCCACCTTTCATTTAACATCAGTATCAATTATCTGCTTGGGGAGCTTGCTATGTAAGATCTGAACTCCATAAGGCAGAGGTGCGGGAGCTGTGGGCCCACAGATGTTGTACTCTAGCCCAAGCCTGCAAAGCCAATGGCTGAAGATGTTTGGAGCTGTAGTCCAGCAACATCTGGAGGTCCACAGCTTTTTCTTCCTTGCCATAAAGGAACTGACTGGATGCTTTCCCCTTCCCTGGCCCAAATGTAAGTGGTATTAGCTGTAGGCGAGCTCACAACAAGGCCCCTGTTGGGCCCTAGACCCTACGGTGAGCATTCACAGCAGTGATTATGGTCAACAGGTGCCATGGGAACTACTTCCATGATTCCCAGGGCCCCTTGACACTGCTGCTGCTGATGTAAGGCAGACGGTGCATGAGCGACAGTTCTTCTAGCTTCTTCAAGACCTTGCTGATTATATGACGGTTCGATCACAGAAGAAAGCAACTCATAAGCCCACTGCCCCATAAATACTGTTGAAAAGACACAGACTGGCAACCTACAGCTCACAGGCTGCATGTAACCCTTGGTCTCTCTCTCTGTGGGTTGCCAAATCCCTGCGAATCCCACATACCTTTCACCACTCCTCAGCCATCGCCTGGACACGGGTGAAAAAGAATCTGGCTACCAGCAAAGGCATATGATTATGTCTGCAGCCCAAATGCTACACAGATGGTGCATCATACCCATTGCGAGGATGTGGTCACATAATTAGCTAGGGTAAACTTACTCTTCCAAACAAAGAGTAGACTGGGATGAGCATGCAGCAGAGGCATCCTTAGCAGCTCAACATAAGAACATAGAGCTCTGCTGGGTAAGACTAAAAGCCCATCTAGCCCACCATCCTCACACTGACCAACCAAACTTTCCCCATATGTGATTCCCAGAAGCTGATATTCAGAAGCACACTGCCTCAAACAGTAGAGAGATAACATCGCCATTGTGGATGGTAGCCACTGAAAGCCTTAGCCATCATGAATGTGTCTTAAAATCTTGAAAGACCTACATTGGCTCCCAGTATGTTTCTGAGCGCAATTCAAAGTGTTGGTGCTGACCTTTAAAGCGCTAAACAACCTTGGCCCAGGATACCTGAAGGAGCCTCTCCACCTCCATGGTTCAACCCAGACACCGAGGGCCTTCTGGCGGTTCCCTCACTGTGAGAAGCGAAGTTACAGGGAACCAGGCAGAGGGCCTTCTCAGTAGTGGCACCCGCCCTGTGGAACGCCCTCCATCAGATGTCAAAGAAATAAACAACTATCTTACATTTAGAAGACATCTGAAGGCAGCCCTGTTTAGGGAAGTTTATAATGACTCATGTTTTTAATGTATTTTTAATCTTTTGTTGGAAGCTGCCCAGAGTGGTTGGGGAAGCCCAGCCAGATGGGGGGGTATAAATAAACTATTATTATTATTATTATTATTATTATTATTATCATCATCCATGATGATGGCCATACATCACTAAATCCTGTGGTAGCAAACCTGACAGTTCAAACAGATAACATTAGATTGTGTCCCACATCTGTGGAAACCACAAGTTTGTTTTGGAGGTGTTCCCATTTTGTTTCTGTGCCGAAAGGAATGGGACCACCCAAGTTTGGCATGAGAGGACATGGCAATATTATGGATTATGTATCACTTCGTTGACATTGTGCACTTTGGTGATAGTGGAATAAGACACTGGTGGGAGAAAACCAAATTCATTTAAAAACAGGCAGAAGCTAAATTTCTCCTTCCGTTCCAATTTCCATTTCACTTGGTTTCTTATCATTTTCATAAGCTCTCGGCATCACTGTCTGTTCCTGTTATTAAAGAAAAACTGCACTCTATGTTTTCTATTCTGGGTAGTGGAAGGAACAGATTTGTTTGTTCTGCCAGGTTTTACAGGCTAATGGAAATCAACATAACATCCTAGTAAACATGATTTCCTGGAAATACAAGTCATTACATAAATTCATAGTCTAAAAAGACTGATACAGATTTAGGTAATTATTTGAAATGCATAAAAAAAAACACCAACAGTAGTAGAAAGTTCCCTCTTATATACTTTTTGCAAATCTTGAGTTGGATTTGGAGATGCTTTAGTGGGAAATCTTCCCTATCCAGAACTTCCTAGCATGTTACTCTTTCTGAATTCCAGTTCCTATAGGAAGATTTCTAAAATGTAATGGAGCATGCATAGGTTACAACAGTTTTTTTCTTGATTGGCATTTAGAGTGAGCAGGTGAATGTATTTTAATGTCAAAGATAAGCAACCTGAGGGCATTCTTGGGTTAAGGGCACCATCCAGTCTGCTTCCTGCTGCCCAGAAGCCTGCTGGGACAGTTGCCACTAGGTGACAGTTGAAGAAGAGCAGACCTGATGGAGCTGGCTTTTCTGCGGAGCTACTTCTAATCTCTCCTAGTAATGCTGCCAGCTGGAATAGCTGCTACAACTTTTGACGTGGATTGGTAAAGCACCAACCTAAGAAGGATCTTAATGCAATCGTATTATGATCATTGCAAAACTGGCAAAAGATTGCAAAATATAAGAGAAGATGCACTTGTGCACTTGTGCACTGAGGCGTTCCCAAAGTAAAGGAAGGATTGAACTCTGATTAATAAGAATACACACAGAGGCTTGAACCAGCAAGACTCTGGGAAGGGTGTGTATAATGATCTGTGCCTCCAGCCCCTGGCCCAGGTCGTTTTATTCACAAAAGAACTTTTACAGAGTGTTCATAAGAGCCAATCAGATTTCTTCTGAGCATTTCAACAAACCCCACGTGGGGAAAAGTTAAACTACCAAAATTAATTAAGCACACATATTTCTGGGGTAAACAAAGAACAGAACTACAAAGGAGTACATTTGGCAACCCCTGAGGTGATAAACAAGCAATATACATGATAAGAAGGATGGCCAGGAGGACAGCGGTCATTATCACCTTCATGTGAGATCTGTTTCCTGGCCCTAAGATTAACATCCTAAGATTAACATATCAGAAAAGCTACATCAAAGAAACTTGCCCACTATCTTTATGGCCCAAGATGCCTACCTGGCGACAACTGGGCTGCGTACGTGACTTGTCAAGAAAGAGAAATGGACAGTAGAGGAAATGGCCAGAGATGCAGAGGGTTGTGGGATTTGATCAGAAATTATTGTCAATGTATCAAACCCAGTCAACACAATGCATTCATCGTGGACACAATGGCTTGATGCATATTTTATAATTCCTCATAGTAATCCCACCTGACCCCACACTCTGGATATTTGCACTCCTACAGTGCACTATGAGTGCAGGGAGGAGTCAAGAATGAACTGGAGGCAGCAAAAGCTTGAACCCCTGAGGCCAGCTGTCATGTGTGATGTAGTTGAGATTCCTGCATAGCAAGTGGTTGTACTAGATGAATCTTGGGGTACCTTCCAACTCTGTGATTCTATGATTCTATGAAAAGCTTTGAGGGTGTACACAAAGTGATGGATAGAATGTGGAAATTATAACAAGAGCATTGGGATATTTTGAATGTCTTCGTTCCACTTTGGAGACAGAGTTGGTAATCTGGAAGTCCAGAATCCAGACAGAAATCCATAGGGGTAAAATTCTGGAAACAACCCCTATATGCAAGATGCAGGCATGTCCTATCTTTAGTCACCTTACCAGAGCAAGTCCTGTGGAACTCTAGTTTGAATAACATAAAAATCCAATCAAGAATGGGGGAGATAATAGTTCCTATAAAATGGCTGTGCCGCAGAATCCCTCAGGCCAAAGTATTGGAAGATATTTACTTTCTCTTTGTAATCTCATCCCCACCCCTATTATTTTGCATCATTAAGCAGAGCTGAATCTAGTGGCATTGGTTTAATTATAGAGAGGGGAGGGAAACATCCCATGGGTGTTA